GTGACAATTTTCCATGAAAACAATTTTAAACTCATCAATACAGGCATGTATGCATGAAATGAGCTTCAATTCAACATATAGAATCAATTCTAGACTTTAACTCACTAAATTTCCATGATTCATGAAGATACAACTTAAATACATAAACCAAGGGATAGAATCTCTACCTTAGGTCTCCAATCACAAGCCTAGAGGCTCAATTTTGCAATAAACTCTACAATTCCTTTAATTTCCAAGCAAATCAACAAGATGAACTCAATTCTCTCTCACTCTCTCTCTCTTGGTCGGCTAGGAGCTCAAGAAGGCTGAAGAAATGTGTTGTCTAATGTATAATGAAGCTCAAAATGTTTAGATAGTGGCCACTTTGAGTGGCAAAATTATGAATAAGGCCAACTTTGCAATTTAACATTATTTATCCTAATTTAATCGTACCGAATCACATTTCAGATAAATATGTCATAAAATCCCATTAATTCTAACTAACACAAATCAACAATCAATTCCAGATTCGGCCGCCAATAAGGCCTTCAATTTGCAGTTTAAAGCATAAAATATGAACAGATAGTCTAACAGTCAACAGATAGATATGCATTTAAACTAGCACATTTAATCAATCAATTCAGTTTTTCAGTCAGTTCAATTACTTATCATGATTAATCTCAGTTTAGCAGTAATCAGTTGCTTAATCAGTAAACAGTGGTGAGGGTTATTACAATAAGGAAACTGGTCTCCTCCACCTTTAAAAGGACATTCAAACTACTCATCAAATTATTTTTAAATTCATTGTATTCTAAAGAGGGTTAAGAAAGAGAATCATTTTTCCACTAATATTGATATTAAGTTTACGTCCAATCAATTATGGATCAGTCAAAGGTTTCGCATAACTGATCCGGATATGTTATTTATTTTTCGTATTATGTTATTATTTGTGAATATCATGATAGTTCATGATTTAAGATTATAAAAGTTGTTATATGCATAACATCATAAATTTTTTACAAAATGTGTCACATATATGCCATTTTCGACTTCTTCCTTTTTTTTTTCTTTTTTTATGGCTAAAGATGAAGTTTTAACAATTGAATATAATATATTTTCACAAAGATGACCTTCTGTGTAAGAAAGAGTATAGAATTTGTTTGTGGCATTGGCATATACTATATTTGTTGGAAAGTGTAATGTATCAAATATGTTCCATTTTTAGACATTTCTTTTTTTTTTTTGGGTGGGTCGTATGTCAAGATGAAGTTTTATCAAATGTGTAGTTCATTTTCACTGCAATGTCGCAAAGATGACCTTTTTGGACAAGTTTCAGTATTTGTTTGTGGCTTCGTTATGTGCTTGGGAAGCGAAATGTGTCACGTATATGCCATTTTCAATTTTTTTTTTTTTTTAAGCTAAAGATGAAGTTTTAACAATTGAATATAATATATATATATTTTTTTGTAATGTCACAAAGATATCCTTTTGGGTAAGAAAGAATATGGAATTTGTTTGTGGCATTGGTATCTCCTATATTTGTTGGAAGGTGTGATGTGTCAAATATGTGCTATTTTTAGACCTTTTGGTATTTGCGTCATGGCTAAAGGTGAAGTTTATCAAATGTATAGTTGTTTTTCACTGCAATGTCACAAAGATGAGCTTTTGGACAAGGTCAAGTTGGATTTGGGATGGTTACTGTGCAGAGCATAGTAGTCTCGGCTATGTAGTGAAATGGATTTATTTCGAAACTCATTTCGATAATTTGAACATTTTATTTTTTAGAATACATCAAGTAGAAAATGTTTTCAAAAAATTAAGTAAATCGGCTATCGTTTACTGATGCATCCACTCACATTTGAATCTATAAAAATAAATAATAATTGATAGTTGTTTTTCACTGCAATGTCACAAAGATGAGCTTTTGGACAAGGTCAAGTTGGATTTGGGATGGTTACTGTGCAGAGCATAGTAGTCTCGGCTATGTAGTGAAATGGATTTATTTCGGAACTCATTTCGATAATTTGAACCTTTTACTTTTTAAAATACATCAAGTAGAAATTATTTATAAAAAATTAAGTAAATCGGCTATCGTTTACCGATGTATCCACTCACATTTGAATCTACAAAAATAAATAATAATTGTGATTTAAAATATTAAAATGAATACAAATATGAGTGGATGAAAGGGTTAACGATATCTGATTAACTTGATTTTTTACAAGTATATTTTACTTGATGTATTTTAAAATATGAACGGTTCACATTATCGAAATGGGTCAGAAATATACTCATTTTGCAGCACAGTAATAGCTGATGTACTCCTGTACAACAGTCACCCCACACTCGGTAAAATTTAGTGCTTGTCCTTATTAGGAAAATAATGCCAAAAAAAAATTGGTGTAATTGTCATCTTGTTTGTAGAAGTTACAACAGATCCATGAATCAACCATCAACGTAACTATTAGAAATGTTGAAGTAAGTGATATTTTTTTCTTTCTTTGTTTTGTGTGAACAAATAAATAAAATAAGCTTCTGGTATTTATTTATTTATTATCAATTGATAAAAAATAAATTGCAATAGCTTGAATTGTATAAAATTAAATATCAAGCAATGGTATTTATTTATTTATTATCAATTGATAAAAAATAAATTGCAATAGCTTGAATTGTATAAAATTAAATATCAAGCAATGAAAAAAATATAACTATTTGGGAGACCAGAACCCCTATTTCATAATAAAATGTAAGACTCTCGGTCAACATACTAACCTCATTCATTATTTGCCATTTGAATAAAAAAAAAATGTTAAAAATAAACATATTTCTTATCAAATTTTCTTACCATTAGACATAATGGTATAAGACCCACATTAATAAATACATTTGAGATTTATTATTGTTGCGTTTAGTGATAAAAAAAATTCTATATTTCTTTGAATAAATGTTACAATTTGCTCACTACAATTTAGGAGACTGTCGCTTTCTTTTGGGCCATTGTGGACTTGAAGATTTTTGTCACATTCTTCTACGTGATTTTTACTTTGAGAAAACTAGTCCACTGTGTATGTGAATTTATTTATTTATTTATTTATTTTTTTGGGTTTCTTTTAAAAGTTTGGATTTAGGTCATTTATCAATCAGTTTATTTTAATACTTATTATTATTATTATTTGGCTTTGGTTTTTTTAGTTTTTAACATTTTAAGTTAATCCATTTTGTTTTTTTTGGAAGAACAAATTAAAATTTTCGGTAAAAACCAAAAACTCATAGTAAAAACCCTTTAAAAAAAAATAAAAATGTCAATTGAAAAAATCACCCATAGACAAAATTTATAAGATGAATAACAAGCAAGCTGTACAGTCCATCGACAAAAAACAACTATGGGTTGACTTGACTGAATCAAAGTCGCAATTCGAAAAAAAGAAAAAACTCTAGGACTGATCAACTAATTGATTTCAAGGGTCCGATGTTTTTTTACTGCACCGGATAACGTGCTCTTGAATACATCTATTGAGAAGAAACCAAGATACAATCTTAAATACTTATAAATGAAGGTGCTAACACCTCATGCATACTTTTACGTAGTATTATGTTTAACCTATTCAAATTCAAACATTTGCCACCTTTTAGTTTTGTTAACTTAGCAGGTCATTTGATTCATTCTGTTGCTGGTTTATTAATTTGATTGATTGCATCAGTCAAGTCCTATAAGCGGTGGATCTAACGATATACTCAGATTTAAGCAGGGTAAGAACCACTTAAATTCATAGTAGACATGTCCGTATATGAGTTTGGAAATCCTAAATTAAAACCATACTAATTTACTAGCTAAAACAATTTATATGGTCCTCATTAGTATTATCAAATAGGATGTTGCCCCATTTTAAATGTGTAAAACTATCCAAGTTTATTTATTTATTTATATTGTAAAAAAAAAATATCAAATTCAATTTGATCTTAATTAGGCAGTTGAATCCAAGTGGACTGTAAAAAGAATAATGAAAACTCAATTGGACATACCTTGTATAAGAGTTAATTTCGAGATTGCTCTCAGAACATTGCCCCATATTAACAAAAGAATTTCATATTTTTCTATTGATTAAATACTAATATTTAGCATAATTTAATTAAGTGCACTTATTTAGATAAGTGTATTGATTTTGGTCACATCATTTCTCTATTTTTTTAAATATATTTTTGTAAAAAATCAAAAAATATATTTATTTAAATTATTCAAAACAAACCTCTAACAAAAAGTACAAAAATATTAATTATCGAATCACCCCCCGATAACTTATCTTATACTTCTTAAAAGGTAGTTTGACACTATTATGGTGGACATTATGGACTATTTTGGGAAGATGGTTAAAAGTCATCCTCTTACTTTTAATCCATTTAGGTTATATTATCTCTCACATTTTTGATATGTTTTTTCAAAAACACTAAAAAAAAAAGAATCAAAAAACCAATTTTTAACCATATTTCCAAAACATATATATATACAGAGATATATATATATATATATATACGAATTCTAGATAATAAGATAATGATATTACAATCCATAAGATAAAAAGCCCAGTGGCATTTTTATTATACATCACACATAATATATATATAGACATAGTGGGGGCAAAAAATATTGATGGCTGAGTTTTGTTGACGATGATTGTACGGATGGCAAATTCATCCCCTCTGTGCCCTTTTTCCACCCAACTCCCCTCCTACACCCTTTTTGTCTTGCTAAAGGGCCGTTTCGTGGCACCCCTTTCATGAATCAATAACTTAGTCAAAGGTCAACAAATCTCTCTTACCCCTCCCTCCACACGCTCTTTTTGCATTTACATCCCCAACTGGTGTGCCCCCTTCTCTCTCTCTCTCTCTCTCTAAAATTCTCACTTCCTCTCTCCACCAAAAAGGTGAGCTGGAGAGAGATCCCGTGTGCGGGAATTCGAGCTGTATTTGAAAGCCCTTTTTGTTTCCCCCTTAGCTATATATACCCTTCCTTCCTCATTCCTTTCTCTTCACACAAAACTCCTCTTTTATCTATCCATACCCACACATACTATCAGCACTACTACTAATACTACTACTACTACTACTACTACTTTACTATCACTACAAACACTATTTACCAAAACATGGACTTCACAACCATGTTCATGTTCTGTTTATTTGTTTCTTTTCTTTCTTTCTTATTCCTCTTCCGTCTCCTCCTCAAATTCCTCACCTCTGGCCACCGGAAACTCCCTCTCCCACCGGGCTCTCTTGGCTGGCCGTATATCGGCGAAACCTTTCAGCTCTACTCTCAAAACCCAAATGTCTTCTTTGCCTCCAAAGTTAAAAAGTTAGTACTAATAATTCAATCATTGTTTTGGGCTTGATTTTCTCATATGGTTCAACTTTTGTGTGATGTTAACATGAATTGGTTTTGACAGGTATGGTTCTATACTCAAGACTCACATATTGGGTTGTCCTTGTGTGATGATATCGAGCCCCGAGGCGGCGAAACTCGTGCTTGTAACGAAAGCTGCTCTGTTCAAGCCGACATTTCCGGCGAGCAAAGAGAGGATGTTGGGTAAACAAGCCATTTTCTTTCACCAAGGAGAGTACCATTCCAAATTGAGAAAACTTGTCATCCGAGCATTCATGCCCGAGGCGATCAAAAACATTGTCTCTGACATTGAATCGATCGCTATCGAGACTCTAAAATCATGGGAAGGCCAATCAATAACCACTTATCAAGAAATGAAGACAGTGAGTCTCTCCAATCCTCCTTTCTTTCACTCAAAACAGAACAAAACAGAGTAAAACAGAGCAAAACAGAGATCCTCTGTTTTTCTCTGTTTCACAGAACTCATCAATTGATCAATTCAGCTAGAAACCACCATTTCATTTCAATTTCGGATCAAATTAAGATACCGGGTTTTGATTAAATTGTGATTTTATTATTGCAGTACACATTCAATGTCGCATTACTTTCGATATTCGGAAAAGACGAAATTCTGGACAGAGAAGAGCTGAAAAGATGCTACTACATTCTTGAAAAAGGGTACAATTCAATGCCCATTAATCTTCCTGGAACTCTCTTCCACAAATCGATGAAAGCGAGGAAGGAGCTAGGTCAGATCGTGGCGAAAATCCTCTCGATTAGGCGGCAAATGAAGCACGACCACAAAGATTTGCTCGGATCATTCATGGGTGATCAAGAAGGCCTCACCGATGAACAAATAGCCGATAATATCATCGGTGTCATTTTCGCAGCTCGTGACACCACCGCCAGTGTCCTAACGTGGATAGTCAAGTACCTTGCCGAGAACCCAAGTGTCCTCCAAGCTGTCACTGTAAGAATCTAATTGAACCCATAAAAAAATAAAAAATAAAAACCCAATTTATTTATTTTTTATGTTAGTTATGAAAAAGTCAATAATTTTGGACTTGCGAATTTTACAGGAAGAGCAAGAGGAGATAGTGAGAGAGAAGCGCGGTGAAGAGAAGGCTCTAACTAGGGCAGATACTAAGAAGATGCCAATGACTTCAAGGGTGATTCAAGAGACACTTCGAGTTGCTTCAATTTTGTCTTTCACTTTCAGAGAAGCTGTTGAAGATGTAGAATTTGAAGGTCAGTTAAAAAAAATAAAATTAAAAAAAAAAATTATGTTTTGATTGAAAAACTAATTTTGGTTTTGGAACTGGGATTCTTGGTGCCAATATAATACAGTATATTTTTTTTTTCAAAATTATTTACAGGCTATCTTATACCAAAAGGTTGGAAAGTTCTACCACTCTTCAGAAACATCCATCACAGCCCAGAAAATTTCCCAGAGCCTGAGAAGTTTGATCCCTCAAGATTTGAGGTAAAATCCAAAGAAATATGGATAAGTTTCCTTTTGTTTTGTTTTGTTTTGTTTTCTAATTATAAAAAACTGATTTTTTTACATTCAATTTTCTATGTTTTACCAGGTGGCACCAAAACCCAATACATTTATGCCATTTGGCAATGGGACCCACTCATGTCCAGGGAATGAGTTGGCCAAGGTGGAGATTTTGGTCCTTCTGCACCATCTGACCACAAAGTACAGGTAGGTGACTCAAAGTTATTTCCAATATCAGACTATATATTTCACTTTTTTTCAATTATGCTAAAAAGTCCAGTTTCTAAAAATAGGAATCTTGCTGATGAGGTTTTTTGTTTCTGTTTTGATATGCAGGTGGTCTGTCATGGGCCCACAGAATGGGATTCAGTATGGCCCTTTTGCTCTTCCCCAAAATGGTTTGCCCATCAGACTATCCCTCAAAACATAGGTCTCTCTTTCTCTATAAAGACACTGTTCCAACTCCCAACTACAGAGATCTTTCTAAAAGCAGAAAGATGTGTGAGAAGATTATGATGAAGAGAGCGATACAATCATTCAATTGACTATATGAATAAAGAGGAAAAGACTCTTTTCTCTCTTGCTATAGTTTACCCAAAAGCAGAAAATTTTAGAATGAGATACAAAAAAGGGCGGGCAAAATTGTACATAAAAGAGGCTTCATAGCTAATTGTTGAGGCAGCAATGTTAGGTATCATGAAAAAAATTTTATGAAAATAATTATGAAAATTTTGTGACCCTTGGATTACACTTAGATTAAAGCACTACATACTAATCCAGGTAATTCAATGGTCATAAATTTTTCATGATCTTTTTCATGAAAAAATTTTCACGATCCCTAACTTTTCCCTTGTTGAGGGGACACAATTATTGAACTTAAAAAAGTCATATTCATTGTCAAGAATGACAGTGAAAATTGCATTAAGAGATGGGATCAATGTAATCTAGTTAGTTTAATTAGTCTATATTGTTTGTTTGTTATATTGTATAAAGTCCTCAAGGCGACAAATGAAAATATAATTTTAAGTTTTCACTTTGTGTGTTTTGTCTTCATGTATATTTGTTTATACAGTTATACGATATTTACGTTTGAGTTAGTTTAATTGTCTGCATGAGAATAGTAACAATAGAATGAACTACGCTATAAGCGTACATGTCTTCGTAACAACAATAGTAAATGAAAAAGTTTACAAAATTTTGAATTTACGTATGGATTTAAATTTCGTTTCACCTATACCGTGAACAAATATGATCTACACATTTTAAGTTAAAAATAATTTTTACAATACGTAGGATTGTTGAAATGCAAAATATCATGCTAGTATTTAAATAGAGTGATGATATACAAATAAAAAATTTATACAGAATGATTAAACTTAATTGGACCTTCTAATTTAAAATAAAATACTTGAAAAGATGTCTTTCTAAAAAAACAAAATGACATTGGCAAATATTCTCGTATTTTTTTTTTTTCTAAAATTTTTCTATATCAATGAAGTTTCCATTCAAATATTGAATTTTCATCTACCAAAAAGGCACAAACAGAGTCAAATTCATGCTTATTTCATTTCCGGAGTAGAGTTCTTGTTGTTGGAATGTAAAAAGCATGATAAAAGGAAATTTGATAATCAAAGTTTAGAATCCAATTATTTTAACCACTCATGTTGTATTTTTCTTTATATTTTTTCGTAATGTACATATATAATCAACTTTATTTATTTATTTTTTTTCAGTTCCTTTGTACAATACAAATACATATACATAGCAATTAGTCTATGATTATTTGCTTGTAGATATTATAGTAGCTCTGCATAGTATCACTAAAAACATGAAGGTCATGACTTAACAACTGCAAAATTAGAGTTGTTGATTGTGCCTCTGTTCTCTTCTAGAACACTTATATATATATATATATATATATATAATATACCTAATCAAAATAAAAATAAAAACAAAAACACAAACAACCCCAATACAATTCATCTGCAATGTCATTAGGAATGTGCATGAATCTAATTGATCCGGTTTTAGAATAAATCATGAACCAAATCACTTTTTACGGTTCCAAAAAAATTAAAAATGTAACCAAACAATTAAACTTTTGTAACCGTACCTCCTCCTTGGGGCCTACCCCAAGTTCCAAACTCAAGCCTTATAAACCCACTAAAAGTATACCCACCAAATCAATGTTATCAAGAATATTATTCAAATCTTAAGGAAAACTTTTATATTTATATTTTTACATATAAAATAAATAAAAATAATAATAATAAACAAATATATAGTGGTTTGGGTGGCTTTGAACCATAATCAAAGTCTTAAAAATTGACAATTAGATCGATTTGAACGGTTTCACCATTTTCAAAACTAGAACTAAAATAGAAGTTAATAAATATAAAATCAAACTGATAGTTTAGACTAGATTGAATCGATTTATTAGTTCCACTGATTTTTTTGAATATCCTAATGTTGTGTTTGGTTGGAGAATTTAACGAGGGAAATGGAAAAGGAAACGGAAACGGAAACGGAAACGGAAATAATAATAAAAAAATGAGAAAGAATTGACAATGTTTGAATTCGAAACTATGTTTGGTTGAGTTGAGAAATGGAGAAAGAAAATAACCTAAGTGAACTGGTGGAATTTCACTTTTCTCTCCTTTTCCCTTGCATTTTTCATTATAACCAAACAAAAAATGAGATTGTATTTCATTGTCTCTTTTTATTTCTCTCATCAAATATTCCAACCAAACACAACCTAAATGTCATTATCAAAAGATTGTAGTTTCATCAGCAATTTTAGGTGTTCAATAACGTCTAGCAAACTTTCCAGGTGTCCAAACATTCGTCGTCATTGTATACGCTTGCACGATAATATATACACACAACATACTCGTAGATAATACAAATAGTAAAATTATTGTTCTTAATATTCGAATATTCTCAAATTATTTGAATGCTGAATTGCTAATGACACTGCTCTATCTCAAGCATGCATTGACAAATATAGAGATAACGATTAGTTGTATATATAATTATTATAATGGTCGAAAAAATAATTATTTTTCCTCTTCGTAGTTTCTAATTACATTTAACAATCACTTGTTTCTGCTGTTATTCCCGATTTTAGATTCGTTTTCTTACTGCTTGTTTGTAAATAGCATAAAAAAATAAATTAAACTAAAAACCCAATAACAGAGTTTGATTTCATGCATTTTAGCTAATCATGTTAGGGTTTCTTTCACATTTTTCTAATCTAAACCACGTTTAGTCACAACAATTGACAATTAAACTATATTGCAGAAAAAATAAGAAATAATATACAACGAAAACAAGCTGATTCGAACATATTTTTTTACGCTCAAACCGAATTCATGTATTATGTAGGTGAATCACGTGGCTCCATTGATGTCTTCAAATAATTTCCAACGGTGGAGTAGAACTACAAGAAAACTAACCACACTATTCATAGTACAAAAGCTATTATGTATTTCTAAGGAGAGAAAAGAAAAATAAAGTTTAGGAGGAAAAGAAAATAGATTACCCATCCTGTTCAATCTTACTCTCCCAAATATAATATATATATTATATGGGAGAGTTATAATCACCTACAATTCTATCTCCTTAAGAGATAAGATAGTGAGTCATACACTTTTATTCGCAAAATAAGTTAATGCAAGTCCACTTTGACTGGGTCTCTCCTTATGAGTCTTGGGTCATGCCATCATGGGCGACTCAATCAGGTATGAGTTATAAACCCGACCCAATTTCCAACTTCTCCTACTCGAACATGTGCTGGCATGACATCGCGCTTGCTTTATCTCAATCTATCTATCAAATACGATCATATTAGCCAATGGACTGTGCAATCGCTAAGAACACCTACATGTGAGAACTCTACACTAGAAACTCAAAAAGAGCCAGCATAGAGACATTAACTCGAAAATAAAAATAGTGTCTCGTATACCCTAGACTCATCCAATTACACCAATCCAAAAAACATTTATAATTCCTCAAAAGAGCATGTTTGACCCTTTCAATTCTTACAATATATTCACACTCAATCTACCTCTCATACAAAGTGATGTAAGTTGCTGATAGTGAATATACATCAGTAGTGTAATACTAGATGATCTTCCATTCGTTCTCATGCCATTTAGTTTAGGATTGACCGCTTTTACAGTGATGTCCTTTAAGGCCGAATAATATATAATCGCAGGCAACATATCAAAGTAGCAGAACATCAACCCCTTACCTTATGATATAGTCAAAGGTTACAAAAGGATACATAAGTGAAAGTCATATCAATAATGACACGTAAAACTTGCACGATGAGGAAACATGGATCTATATATTCTATCACCTCATTACTTGGTCGCCAAGCACATATAGTATGAATACATGCTACGGTGGAGTAATTTTTCCAAAGAGTAACGTCATACTCGATACATTGTACAGATCTTAATCTAGTCACTTTCTAGCGCCTAACTCGAATTCTCTATTTACTTGCTTTTCAGGCACCAAATAAGATCTTGAATCTAGCTAATCATAACAGACACAACATGGAAAGGGGGTATTAAAATCCATGCTTGGTCTTTAACACGACCTCATCTTGGTTGCAACCAAGGCGACATACATAGTGGATAATTTAAGCACCTCTTGGCACCAAATAAAATAAACCATTAATCTCATCCTTATTCGCTCCCAAGCGATTGCTTGTGTGAGTGAGCCAATCTTGCCTGTTGACATCATCATCTGCTAATCATTATAACACAAACCATAATAATATCAATATCTCATAATATCACAAAAATAAGTGATCGATTGAAAAAAACACAATCACAGTTTGCACAATTTTAGATTCCAAACATAAGCTCTATTAGCACCTCTTGCGACAACGGAATCCACCATCTACGCTTCATATGAAGTCATTCAAGATTACTATCTCTTGCACAATTACCTCTCTAAAGATATTTTGGTGACCAATTTGTGATCGTTCAAGATGTGCCCAACTAGCGCATTAAATCTTACAGGGGGCAAATTTATACACTACTAGTAGAGCATCATATCTACTGTCTAATGAGCAAGATCAATGTCTAAACTACTCAGTTGACCATTTACAAAAGATAACACTCATCATGTTGAATACGCCCATATAGCGTATTTCAGGCTCCCACAACAAAAGATCAAGGAATATAGGTCATTTATTTCCCTTAGAGACAATCTGAGGATTCACTCAATAGCTAAGGCTTTACCAATAGGTAAGTCACTGGGTTTTCAATTTTGATAATTATTCTAGCAGAACAATAGGTAAGTCAATGGGTTTTCAATTTTCAATTCTTTATGTTAGTCATCAAAGAAAAACCGAGAATTCTCCCAGAACAATCCATAAGGATTATACATCTGAGCATATAAACTACATCACTCATGTCTATCATGTCTAAAACAGAAGACTGCCAATCCTAGGTGATGACAACCTTATAATTCCTGGCTCATAATGACTAAGTAAGGAAAAATTTCTTTTGGACCATTGATCATGCCCTAGTGGTCTTCATCAACCATCGTTGGCCCATCATAGCTCGAAGAAATCTAAGAACCGCTATTTAGATAATTGTTTTAGGCTGTAAAAGATTTATTAGAACTAGCAATCTTTTCGCACTCCTACTTTTTGCCATAAAAGTAGAAGGTAAATCCCTACGGATCTACTTATCCAATTCTCCAATGAGAAGTTGGGTCACAATATCCACAAAATAAAGTTTCGAACTCATGTTAATCGAAACCCAAGTCGAAGTAACCTCACTTCTAAGAAGGAAGTCTTTTCATGGTCTATGCCTTCCTCAATGGTGCGACTTTTTGATATCTAGTGAGCCTTACGCGCCAAAAAATGACTATCCAAATCGCGCATAACTTTAGAACAATTTCGTGTCATAGCAAAAAGTCAACCAAATCCTAGAAATGATTAATCATCAAAAACTTTGTCTAAAAATGCACAACATTGATCCACTTTCTAAAAACAGGAGACTAGAGAGCCTTTGACAT